TGAACCAGAAATGCTTGCAAGCTACAATACCATCAATAGTCTTCGAACTATGCTTATGAGAGAAGAAGAAGCTTTGTTAAACAAGCCAAAGAAACAGACAACAATCAGCAACTTCTTTGCCAAGCCATAACTTACTTGGCCATCAATTGCATTACATACATAATAAAATATTTTACTATTTTTCATCGGTTTCATGCTCAAAACTCATAAAAGTCAAGGAACATTTGATTAAAAATTGTAATTAAAATTATGTAATGTACATATAATATTCAACCTAAAATTGTTCATATGCTTCAAAATCTTTGTCTCAGTCATCTAAATGCCTATTTATGCCACATAAATATTCACAAATCTAACTCTCTCAAATTCGGAAAATCCTCAAATTCGGAATACCTTGCGCCCCAAGCTTTCCGAATTTGAGGAGTTCTACTGTATGTATCACACAGCTGATAACAGGGTTGTCTAGAGGGGGGCAGGGAGGACACGTGTTCGCCGGCGGCAGCCAATGGGCGCGCATTCTATCCGTGAGCTTCAGAATAAGGCAATTATATAAGTAGATAGCAGACCTCATTTCACCATAAGTGAGTATAGGTCTATAGAATTTTTTTGTATGTATATTCATTATTTTTTTTTTCTAAATATAGAGCAATTGACAAAAGTTACTATTTACGGGTTAACACACAAATACAATATACTAGGGCCTACAGTAAGAGTAACTTAAGCACAGAAAAAATCGTGGACTCAAAAGTACAACACAAAAAAAAGTAAATAATAAACCACAATTCGTTAAATAAAATAAAAAAAACAGTACTTAGCTTTATTGCTGCTTAGGTAGGGATTGGACCGGGGTTACACAGGTATGCGCCGAGATTGCCAGACAGGGATATAGCACGCAGAGAACACTTTAAGCGTCCCCACACGATATTCCACCACACTGGCCTGTCGACCCATACCATAGCCCCCTTTATATACAAACATGGCCACATTCGTCCAATGAGAAGGCGGGAGAGATTTGTTCACAAACAAACGAAAACAAAAATTCTTTCCACTAAAACCTGAGATAAGATATGATAAGATTGCAAATATTTGTCAATATAATTTGACAAAAGGTGTCTTTCCAAAAAAAAAAAAGAAACTAACAAATCTCCCATACATTCCCATTGTCCCGTAAGGAAAACCTCCCGCTGTTCGGGGGGAAAAAAGCTCACGGGAGCCATGTTATAAAGATACAAAAAAAAACTAAAGAGAGGAGTAGAAGACATCAGGGTCGTTCCATAAAGGTGCCTTCCATCTTGTTCCTCCCAACAGAAACTTCAAAACAAAATCTGCGCAAACTACGTGAGTTACCATGAGTGATTAACAAACACACACATATATAATATGCTTTAGTATACAGAGTTTAATGGGGGACCAAATAAGCTCTCATCTGGGACCGGCTGGGTATGTTAGGTAGAGACATTGGGTACTGACAGACGCTCACTTGATGAGAAACCGAACGATCCAATTCCATTCAGTTCTCTTAAGTCCAAGAGCTAAAAGCTCTTCTTAACGTCTGTTTCTAAACGCTTTCATCTTATCGACATGTACAACTTTCACATCGTGCATGGTGACCCCTCTTACTCTAAGTTAACATCGGAGACCCTAGCTTCCACACGGAAAGGCCCATAGACGTTGGAGTAACCTTCAGTCTTAGGAACAGCTAACATTACCAGATCTCCTCTGTCGAAACTTCTGGGATAAGGTGGCCTAGGATTCATAAGCTTTTTAGCAGAATTACCTGACATAAACTGTCTGACAGTCTCTTTTGCCTACCGCATCACCCTTAACCTCTCAGCCCAAGTAGGCTTTCTAAAACTATTAACAGACCCAGCGCTACACTCACAGCTTCTGTTAAACTCAGTAGGTGGCAACTTTACAGCCTCGTTTTCAATGCGTCTCACTGATTTCTCATCTATGGAGCTTGAAACCATTGGTCTATGTTCACTGGCAACGCAGCTAAGGTCTACATAATCATGGTCTTCTGGTTCCAAGAAAATCATGTTGCAACGTTCCCGTACGGGAGGTAACTGGATATTCAATCTCCTTATATCATTGATTCCCAGAATCCCGTCGTAGGCCTTATCTCTGAGCGGCATTAACCAGAACATTACCTCTCCCAGCTCGCTGCCGTTTTCGTTACCAACTCTACAGGTTTTAACACGTGTAAGTGTCTGCTCGTGGCCTGTCACTGAAACCATACGTAAAATTTTAAGTGCATCGTCCCAATTCTCCTTCAAGACTTTACACTTTTCAGAATCAATAATACTGACTTGGCTTCCTGTATCATATAACAGGTGCCACATATTGCCGTTAATATTCACCTTAACTATTGGCAGATTTCCATACGGATCTCCGCCATATGAACGTATGTTCACTATCTCGGCATTGTCAGGAGTATTGCGGTTGGCAAACATAGAAGACTGTCTTGAGCAATCACTAGCTATTTGTCCTAATCTACACTCAGGTGGACTTAGCTTGCTTTCGCTCAACAATTTAGTCAGTTTTTCTATCTCACCCCTAATTTTCGTGCTTCATCCTGTTTACATTGGAACTAAGCATCTTCATCTCACCCTTAATGCTATTTATTTCTTCAACCCCTTCTACTGAACATACCCCTTTCATAAAGCTGCAACGGTGTTCTACCCTATCCTCCATGGCCATGACACTGACTGCTTTGTCTATTGATTTAGCCTCACTGCGAACAATAGCCTCTCTATACTTATCGAGCACATTTTCGAGGAAAATTTCGAACACTAGGCTATCGTCAAAACTGTACTCTACTTTATCTCTAATGGCCAGGAATCTTTCTTTAAAAACCATAGGACTTTCCCCAACTCTCTGCTTAAGACCTTCTATTAATTTAAGGCATTCCCTAATACCACGCGCTTTCTTAGGGTACAATATGTTCAGTTTACTAACAATACTTTTGAAACTACTATCGTTACGGATACCCATCTCCTCTAAGCTCAACCTAACTTCTGAGGATAAAGCCTCGAACATGAGCAATGCTTTGACCTCAGTATCCCATTTGCCTATTCGAGCTTTAAGCTCGACTTCCCGAATGAAAGATTCGAGATTAACCCCATTAAACACTGACAAGTTGAGCATAGAATTCGCAAACATGATGTAGTACAAAAATAGTAAAAAACCACTCAATCAAAGAAAAAAAAAACGGCACGTAAAATTACAGAAATTTACACGTGCAAACACCAGTAATCCTGGCAGGGCTCGCCAATGACAATAGTTACTATTTACGGGTTAACACACAAATACAATATACTAGGGCCTACAGTAAGAGTAACTTAAGCACAGAAAAAATCGTGGACTCAAAAGTACAACACAAAAAAAAGTAAATAATAAACCACAATTCGTTAAATAAAATAAAAAACAGTACTTAGCTTTATTGCTGCTTAGGTAGGGATCGGACCGGGGTTACACAGGTATGCGCCGAGATTGCCAGACAGGGATATAGCACGCAGAGAACACTTTAAGCGTCCCCACACGATATTCCACCACACTGGCCTGTCGACCCAGTGTTGTTGAGAATCCGGGCTAATTGGCCACAAAAATGGGTCTTCTAGCCCTACTATGGCTGCAGGTCGCGAACTGGTGGGAAGGGATCCAAGGATCTGGCAGTGGAGGTGTCATCGCAGGGGGGAGAAGCTGGAGAGGTCAGGGAAACAGCGCCTTGATGGGTGAGAAGCCAGGATGGAGGCCAGTTGAGGAGGCAGGAGGTCCTGGAAGCCTAGAATTGGAGGGCTCTAAGCTTCAAGGTTGGGCAGCTTGAGGCTCTCGCCTCGTGCTTGTCTGAGAGGCCCTGGGCACAGCAGTTGGCGCACTTGGAAGTGCGCCGGTCGGCAGCGGAGGGACAGGAACGACCATCGTGGCCGCTTACACCGCAGTGGAAGCATTTGGGGTCTCTGGTGCATTGGGCGGAGTTGTGGCCGAAGCCACAACAGCGGAAGCAGATTCGTGCGCGGATGGACTCCTCGAAGTTGAGGATCACTCCATCCACCACGATCCTTCCGCGAATGCCCAGAGCTCTGAAGGTGTTGAGGTCCACCTCGATGAAGGCGGTGCAGGTCCCGTTTCTGGTTGCAGAACGGTGCGCCACGCGCACCACCTTGTCCCCAGTTAGTTGGCTGACAGCAGGAGTTCCCAGCAGCGTCTCTTCAATGGTGGAGTTGGATGTTTCCTCATCCACTTTGAAGAGGCAGATGCGAGGCAGGATCACCTTCTGTTGGCGGACCTTCATTCCCGTTAGCTTGCTGGCCAGGGAGGTTGTTACCTCAGGGATGATGTCTGGATTGCTGGAGTGGAGGACCAGCTTCCCCTTGGTGCGTAGAGAGGCCCAAACACCTTGGGGTAGAGTGTGGGCAGCGCGGACAGCCTTGTAGATCTCCCTAGGGTCAGCCTGTGGGTCATCAGAGACGACCACTGTGTGGGCCGCCGATTTTTCCCCATGGAGGACCACTTGGGCGGCCGCAGGCTTGGTGGGGCGGGAAGGCGCAGGTTTTGCTGGACCTTTCAGGTTGGATCTTTTGGCAGGGGGGTTGGGAGCTTCAGGCTGCTTCCTCTTGGTTGCAGCATGAGTGGCAGGCTTGTTGGAGTCAGTCTGGGAGCTGGTTTCCTTTAAGCAGGGAGGAGGGCTTGTTTGGGTGCTGTGGCAGTCAGTCTGGGGCTTGCTGGCATCTTCATCCAGCTCCTTAAAGGACGCGAGGATGCCAGAGAGGCTCTCCACCTCAGCAAGGAGGGCATTGATCTGCCCAGTACGCAACCTGACGAAGCTGTCCATGGTGGCGTAAAGTTTCCACACGAAAGTAGGATCCCTAGACTCATTGGGATTTTGGAAGGGTAGCAACGCCTCCGCGTTCTCCATCTTCATTTGGGCGAGGGTTATGAGGGGCTTCTCGGCATTCTCGGCCTCCTTCTTCTTCTTCCTAGAGGGAGCCATGGCAGGAGCAGTAGAGCAGAGATGTGACCAGGTAGGTGCGTCCGATCACCGAAGTTAAGCAATGTCGGGCCCGGTCAGTACTTGGGAGGGTGGCCTGTCGACCCATACCATAGCCCCCTTTATATACAAACATGGCCACATTCGTCCAATGAGAAGGCGGGAGAGATTTGTTCACAAACAAACGAAAACAAAAATTCTTTCCACTAAAACCTGAGATAAGATATGATAAGATTGCAAATATTTGTCAATATAATTTGACACAATACATATTTAAATCTTCAGTTAATAAAAAGGCATATATAGGTCAAGGCATTACATTTTTGTATAAACAGGGCTGTTACTGGTTGTTGCGCTGTCAGGAGTACAGGAGCTCCATCTATGCTTCCTTTCTTCCTGTGGTGAATATGTATACGACCGGTGGTCTTAATAAATCTAGGTGTGTATGTGTGTGTAAATAACTGAAGATGACCTTTTACACTATA